TGAAGTCCGATTACTTGTGTAACTAAAGCTTAAGCAAATTTGCTTATAGAAAGTAACATATAAATTTTATATGGCTAAAATTAGGCAATCATCAATATTAATACAGGTAACTAAGACTCAACTAACCAAATTCACAAAACAACAAGGCTATAACTCAAATTTAAGCAGCTGTCGGAAAGCGTGTGACTTTAGTTGGGTAAAGCAATAGAATTGAAAAAACGACATCACGTTTAGTATTTGTAAACATTGAAATGATTAGCTCGTTATTCATATGCGATTCATATATAGACATTATAATTCATCCATATCCATTTTCGAATCCTTAACGACAACTTCCTCTTCAAGTCTAATTCGATGTGTGATTGTCATGACTTTATAGCCAATTCACACACGCACAACCTGCACACACACACATACAGAGACACACACACACACACACACAAATACAGACAACACACTCAGTCATGCACAACACGTGTCTACTCATATATGAATGTGAGTGCGCACTCGTGAATGCATTTTACAAGTTATTTTATGCAAGCCATAAATATGCACTTTACACTTTGCACATTTCTTTCTTGCACTCGCTCCCTCTCCCATTCTCTCTCTCTCTCTCTCTCTCTCTAACTCTCTCACTCGCTCTCTTAACGTCTTTTTCTTTTTGTTTTGTTTGCTTGTGTTCACAAAACAAACAGCCAGCCATAGGATACAGATCGAGTATCTCAGCTCTTAGCTAGACCAACACAGGCAGACAAACAGAGATGGGAAGACAGATGCAGTGAGATGAGAGGAGGGGGTGGTGGTGGTGTTGAGTCCCGTAGTGGTGCCGAGTGGTGCCTGCATACAAATTATGTACAAACATGTTTTCAGAAATGTTCAATTCATTATCGCTAACAAATGCCGATCATGTTGTGTTCAACACACAGTTCAAAGCACTTTTTCCAGCTAAAATTATTGCTAGACTGCAAAAAAAAAAAAACAAAAAAATCTGCACCGAACTGTGTTTCTGTCTCCATCCCTCTCTCCCTATCTCTCTCTCTCTCCCTCTCGCAGTGTCTGGCAATTTGGAGTTGCATTTGGAATTAGGTCTGGATAGTGTGTTTATCAGCACTGTGCGGATTGATGATGGGGCTCTTGTTGTTGTTGTTCCTGCTTTGGCTGAACTCGGAAGCTGTTTTCTATCTACGCTCAAAGCTCGACAGTAATTGCTGTACGTCTAAGTGATATGCCATGTACTGCAGCTGCACACACCACTCACACACACACACACACACACACACAGAGAATCAGAAACAGAAACAGAGTTCGGGCCTAATCAGTTTGGACAGTCAGCCAGACGGGGCAAGCAGCAACAAAAGGCAACAGCAACCCCAACATTTTTTTTTCCAACGTCCACTTAATACACAATTTCCGCTTACAATTTGAGGCACTCGAACCAAACAAAACAAAAAATATTTATAAAATAAACCTGACGAACGAGGAGAGTTGCGACCCTTTTTCCATTCTATGTAGTACTATAAAAGTGTGTGTTGCCGTTGCGGCTGCGCACAAAAACCGAATTAAATTACAGAACGTGCTTCATTGAAAAAACAACATACGCACACAAAACACATACATATACAAATAAACAAGTAAAAGTGTTCTTTCAAAGTGCGCCAAGCTTTGTTATACCCCTTAAAAATAATATAAACTGCAGCGATTTAAAATCAGCTTAAGCTGCACTTCCGCTCTAATTTTTACTTCATCCTTAAAAGAAAATGTCATCGATTTTAGAACTTTTTCCAATTAAATATTCACTAAATTAACTGTTGCTTATGCTTTTTTGTTCTATAATCTAATGTTAATCCTTTTTTTTATTAAAATAGATTGCTTAAAGTCAAATGGATAATTTTTATCTAATACGCACCAATTCGACAGCTTTTTAGTTTTTTTTTAAATCTATAATCTCATTTAAAAATATCAAAGTTTTATTCCATTTACATGTATTTTTCTTTTGAGGGAGGTGCTAAACTTTTTAATATGATATAAACCTAATTTGATTTATTTTGATAACAATTTAAACTTTATTTCCTTTTAATCTTCATCTATAAGTTCTTTAGAGGACTTAAATCCTTATGCGTAAAATGCAAATTTCGAAATAAATATGCATTACGATTTTACTATTCATTAGTGTATATTTAAACAGAATATGATAAATATTTTAATAAACTTGGATCAACTGCTCATAGTAAGATTTTTCTAATCATCTCTTTGAATTATCAGCAAAGATATAAATATTCATTAGCCATTTACCATTCATAAGTATATATTTCACAAGAATAAACGAGTCACTTGATAAATCTCAAAAATCAAAACAGATACGATCAAAAAAATGCATTGATTTGAACTCTTAACAAATCAGAGATTTAAAAGCCCATCAATAATATTATTCGAGGGTATAAAAACAAAACGCTGCAAACAGCTGCCATCACCCAGCTAAGAATATTTAAAGCGGTTGCATTAAGTTTCATTATTAAAGCACATACACACACACACATACACACACACACACACACACACACACTCAAACGAGGAGAACTCAGAACGCACAGCTTGAGAAATTAAAAGGCAATTAACATGCAACAGGCAGCTGCAAATTGATAGGGAAATGAGGGGGGCAAGCAGACTGCAGCGCCCTCTGCTGCTAGCGGGTTCAAGCAGCGATTGTTGCAACGTTCTTTTTTTACGGCTTCTCAAAATCAGCTGCAAATGTGCGTAGTAATTTTTGCTGATTGATTCAAATGGAAAAAAAAAAAAAATAACACAACACACATTGCCCGAGTCAAAGTTGCCGTTGTTGGTGTTGTTGCTTGGCCGTTGTTGTATGTAGGTCACTTTGAGCACTTTACAGCCTCCCACAGTCTAGAGTAGCCGAGAGCGCAGAGAATGTGCAACACATGTTGTGGCAATCGCCTTCGTTTCAACAAAGTACGTACCACACTGCGTATGCGTAACGCAAATTACCATAAATTACGGTTTAGACACGCAGCAATAGCAACAACACCAACAACAATAACAACAAATAGTTGCCTGTCAGCTGATAAGCGGCATTTAACACAAATTCGTCAAGAACAAATTCACATATTTTGTAATAGACAAGATTTCGATTTTCCACAATATTTTTTTGCCTTTTTTCTATGATTTTTGAAGTGTGTTTTAAGTCGGTTTTGAAAGGCAACCCACACATTGTCTTTGGCTTTGTCATTGAATTCGAATCCAAAGCCTATTTACGTGTGTTTCGCCTCGCACTTTTGGTCTTTCGTGTTTTCAGTCTTTAACTGAAGGTTCTAAGAAGAAAAAACAACACACACACACATATATATAAATATATATATATTTAAGCTTTGGTTTAGGTCGTAGGTAGGTCGAAGGACGCAACTTTTGAGCTTTCATTTGGCTTCCGGGCTTTGTAATTGTCAAATGCTTAAAAACAATGGCAGTTTATTAATTGCCTCGCTCAGTTCAGGGACGATCAGAAATAACGGTTAGAAAAAACAATTCAAATCCAAAATACCAAATTAGGCATGCATTTAAAATAATTAGTCGGAACAATCATAAATTCCAACTTTAAAGAGACATTAAAATAAACTTGGTTTGCATTTGAGCTTTGATTTAAGATCGTTGCGTCTTTTAAATGTTGTTTTAGTTACATAAATAAAGTCCACAAATTACCTCAGGCAATGAAGAACTATTAAAGAGTTTGATTTACGTGCACATAAATGCGTTTATATCTCAAATGCAAGTATTACAGGCACTTTAATGGATATTTCTTTTTATATATATATATTTTTTTCCTTTTTATATGTGTATTTAATTTGCACTTTAAAGGCACTTTAAAAACGTTGTTGTTGTTTTTTTTTTTAAATTTATTTTATACGTATTTTTGAGAGCACTACACTGGGGCAAGAATTATAAATTGCTTGCCAACTGTTGTTATTCCTTGTGAGAAACTGTTGCACATTTCATTGGTGAGGCGAGTGCGAAGAAACATACGAAATACGAATAATGCGGCGTTGCACGTTCTTCGTCTTCGACTTTGTCTGCTTGCTTTTTCTGCTTTCAGCCGCTCACAAGACTGCGCGCCGCGAATTCAAATCTCAAACTGGCAACACGAATTCCTCAATTCGACCTTTTCGAAAAAAAATCTAAATTTTTAACAAGCGCTGCTCGCTGCCGCTTCGTGTGCCACACGACGAGTTGTTGTTGCGTTCGCCTCACAGTTCGTTTGGGGGCAGTGTGTGTCCAATTGGCAAAGCGCATGCTGTTGTACTCAATTTGGCACTGTTGCGCTCGAAATGGCACTGCTAAGCGCTGCATCGCTCTGTTACTTTTCGACCTAACTTAACAGCGGCCAGGGCTGCACGCTAACAGGCGAACTTTTAACTGTGATCGCTTTAATTATAACTTATACTTAATTAAATGGTACAGATTGAAATTGTTATGTATATATATTTTTTTTTAATTTATAGAAGTAGTGCATATAACTGATTGAACAAAAATAATTACAATGAATTCGATGAACAATAAACCACATTTTTTCGAACAAAATCAGAACAGAATTTAATTTTAAATTTATATTTTATCTGTTGGGAAATGAAAATATTCATTATATTCTGCCAATAAATCGTTTCGCTGCAGAAATCAAAATCAAATTCTTGACTCATATATCTTTTCGATCAAAATAGATCAAGTGGTAGTAATAAATTGCGCTCGTTCGATTTAATGTGCATATGTATAAAGCAAACTCGCAAATCCCACTCCCCATTTCAAGCTCAATTCGCAATGCTATTTCCAATCATTTCCATAGTCGGGATCGTTAAATTGCTCAAGCGCTAATTTGCGAGCCCGGAGAAACACTAAATGATAGATCTCCAGACCGATCTCTTACTCCGACTGACTGTATGTCTGTCTGCCCGTCTGTCTGTCTGCAAATTCTAGGGAGCCTTGTGGGGGGCACTTACCTCGCCAATTTGATGAGTGGCGCGCAACGTAGCCGCAATTTGTGCAAATTTACATAGGAATCGCTGCTCGAAGCACGAAAGGGAGCCCTCAAAGTGGCACACGAGAAGCTCACGTGCCTGCCGCATTAAAATCGCACGCGTGCGTGCCCAGTAGATGGGATAAATGTGCGACAGATGCCTGTCAATCAGTTCACCCAGCAACCCATCCACATCCACATCCACAGCCACATCCCGTTCAACATTTGTTGCTGTTACCGCCTGCTGTGTGGTAGATAGACATATATATATGTATACATATATATATATTTAGAAAGAAAAGGGCCAAGTTAAGCAATTTTCAGCGTTGTTATTATTGTTGCTAGCTGTTGTAGACGTACCAGTGTTAGCTCGTTCAGCACCTTCTTCTGTTCTGAATGCTCCTCGTGCTCCACTGGCTCCTCCTCCTCGATTTCGCTCTCGCTGCTGCTGGACTCCTGTGGTGCTGCTGGCGCTCGTCGCAGACTCAAGTCGAGCGGCATCGAGTCGATATAGGCGCTTGCCGAATCTCGGCTAGCACAGCTGGAGTCCTCCTCTTGCTCCTCCTGTTCCTCCTCCTGTTCCTTGTGTTCCTCCTGTTTCCCTAGCTCCTCTAGAGTGGGTGCTGTTCCTTCCGCCTCGTTCTTGATCATTGTAATTGTTGCCGTTGTCGTCGTTGTTGTTGCTGCAGTTGTTCTTGTAGTTGCTGTTGTTGGTGTTGTTGTTGCTGTTGTTGTGGGTTTGCTCTGCTGACCCGTTAGGCGTTGCTTGCATTTCTTTAGATAGCTGCGTACCAGCGACTTGCTGCGGTTCACAGTTGTTGCTGCTGTTGTGGTTGTTGCTGGGCATGGACAGCACACATAATTAGCATTCGGTTTGGCCAGCGCCGACAGCTGCTGTTGTTGCTGCAACATCTCCAGTTGCAGCTCTGGATCCTCTTCATGCTGTTCCTCGCCAGCTTCAAGCCCCTCCAGCTTGCCATTCTCATCCTCATCGTCATCCACATCCTCGTCGCGCGCTATTGGCGCTGTGTGGCACGCTGTGGCCTCTTTCATGTTGTTGTTGTTGTTGCTGGTTGTGTTCGTGTCGCTGTCCATGTTCATGTTGTCCATGTTATCGATGGCCACTGCTAGCGGCGCCGATGTCGCGGTTTGGCCATCGATTTGAGTGTCACTCAGCACCAAGATCTCGCTTAAATGGCCCTGATCCACTAATTCGGCTCCTGGGTCGCTGTTTGTTGCTGTTGTTGTCTTTGCTGCTGTTGCTGTTGTCGTTGCTGCAGTTGTTGCTGCTGCCTTGTTTGTGTCACTCTGCATTGGGTAGAGAAAAGACAGAGAAAGACACGTGTGAACTTCAATGGTTGTATAAGTTGTATTTGCGGCCAAAAGTCTAAAAATGCAATGCAATTTAGGAATATGCTTTTGCGTGACTAAGGAACCCATATTGCTCAAGTAAGACCTGTCTTTTTTAGTGAGAAGGGTTACGATTTACGATACTTTTTAAAGGATATTCAATAGTTTAATATACGAAAGCAAATAAGTAAGCACTTTTTAGGGAGAAACTGAACATTTTCCTTTGTTAATCATTTTTATATCTATAAATCTATGCAGGACTTAACAAATTAATGGTTTTTGTATACTTTTTTAGCGTTATGATTTGCGATATAAGGGAATTAAGAATATTTTAGATTAATACCATAAGTTGAACTATTCAAATTCAGAGTATTTCAGCTGTAAGGCACATCCGAGGTTTGGATTCGACAACATTTTGGAAGCACACACATTATTGTGTATTAGTTTTTGTTAAGAATTGATAGATGTATGTATCTGTGAAAAATAGTTTTGAAAGATCTTGCGGAACTATAATTTAAAATTGACTGCAAATCTAAATACTGTCAAGAGAAACAGACCCATAAAAGGGTGTGCTACAATTGGGGCCACAAAAACAAAATCAAGACTAAAAAATCACAACAAAATCAAAGGTTCTTTAAGCACACACAGGCACACACACTCCCACACATACAGGCAGAGAGACACGCGACTTTGGGTTGCCTGGGACTACCAGAAAAGAAAAAAAAAAACAGCCAGAAACTGCCAACTGGCAACTGGCGGCTAGCTGCTAGCTGCTAACAGTCACCAATGGCCGGGTGCATGTTAAAAGTTAAACAGAAAATCAATTGGGGACAGCATTGATCCGATTTCAAAGCGATTCAGTCAGACAACACAACACAGCACACACATGGAAAAGGCGTGGCAAGTGGGCGGTTATAATAACAACAACAACAACAATAAAAACAACAACAATTGCAACTGCAACAGTCGCATTTTGCACTGCACACTTGCATTGCATGACAATCAAATGACTTTACTGAAGCTCAAAACGTCAAATACTTCCAGTTGTTGTTGTTGTTGCAACAATTGTTGTTGTTATTGTTGTTGTTGTCATAGGTCAAGTGTAGCACAGTAGAATTCACTTTCTTTTGCACACACATTGCAAATTTGCAGTGAAAGTGGCCAAAAAAACAAAAAACAAATCCAAAAAGCAGCAGCAGCCGCCGCCTCCTTTTGACCATAACACATAACAATGCCACTGGCTTTTTTTGGGTTTTGGCTAGCGGGATTTTTTTGGCTATGGCTTTAAAAATACTTTAAGCTTCAGCACGGTGACAATGTGACACTTTATATTTTCGGCCGCTTTCCATAATAGCCACACACACACACACACACACATAAACACACTCACACAATTTACGCCCACAACAATTGGAAACAGCGCACAACGTGCTTGCAACACTTTGTGTCTTGGCCGCTAAACTGAGGCTAGCGTTGAGAGTCGAGTCGCGTCGGGTCGAGTGTCGAGTATCGTCCTGCTGCTTAGTCCTAGCCAGTCTGTGTTGTCTAGAGCAGACGCCAGATGTCGCCAGCGGCGCAATGTAGCGCATGCGCCACAATAAATTGCCACAATATGTGTGTATGTGTGTGTGTTGCAAGTCGGTAACTTTTGAAGTGAGACCAAAAATAAATACCAATAAATATATCAAAAAGAAAACATATTTTCGTTTGCAGTTTTGCGACTGTGCCAGTTTTGAGTTTCAGATTGGGCTCTACAAATGCAGATGCCAATGTTGCCTCTGTGCTCCCCCCCTCACCATCTACCACGTTCCAACCAAATTGGCTGCTGGCGGTCGGACGCAGATCATCAATTAATTACCCCCAAGACCAAAGTCGGACTCTGACTCTGACTCTGACTCCGGACTCCGACAGAGGAGGCGCCTCGAGGCATCTTCATGCGTGCGTGTCGTCTTCGTCTTTAGTTATTGGTCTTGGCCAGTGGGTCGCGCCAATTGCTGTTGTTATTGTTGTTGTTGTTATTGTTGTTGTTGGCCAAGTTTTATGGGCGGCTGCTGTTCACAAATTACGAGCAGGAAAGGAAATCGAAATGTGTTGCACTAGTTGGCCAACTGACTGGCTGGCTGGCTAGCTAGCTGGCTGGCTGACTGGCTGGCTGGCTGGCTGGCTGGCTGGCTGGCTGGCTGGCTGGCTGGCAAACTGCTGCTGGCCATTAAAGGAAGGTCGCTTCAGTGACCACTTGACCAGTTTGACAACTAACCTTGCGGCGATTGAAATTGGATTTGATGTTTGCCATATACACACAACTACAGTATATACTATATATTTAAGTTTATTTGTATAATTCGAGCATTAGCTTCTCACGCGTGTACAGTTACACAGCTGACCCACATCCCAAAAAAAAAAAAAGAAAGAAAATGAAAAAACCAAATCAAAATCTACGCTCTTCGCTCGTGATTCATGCAGCAGAAAAAAGAAAAACAACAACAACAAAGAAAAACAAGCTTGGCAATTAATTTTTATGCGTCGCTTGTCACATTTGTGGTTTAATCAAAACATTATGACTGCGTTTTCTTTTTATTAATTGGATAACCTGTGCAGCCCCCAGTTTCCCGAGAGTTTCAAGTCCAAGTGCCCAATCCCAAATCCCAAAGAAACACCTGCTGCCCACAGCCACAGCAACAGCAACAAGCCAAGAAAATAGTCAAATTCAATTTATTGCGTGTGATTTTGATAGTGGCAAGAGACAAGCGGAATACACTCAGAGACAAAAAAAATAAAAATAAATATATATTGCGTCAGTAACTAATTTGTTAGGCGACGTCGACGGCAACTGTTGGCCAAGTTGAATGTGGCTGAAACGCTTGCTTAGCCTTGGTGATGCCGTGGTGCGTTTTATGCGTTGGCGGTGCAAATTGCAATTGCGCCCTCGCCACAAATGGACGCAGTCGGAGACACTGCCAGCATGTGTGTGTGTGTGTGTGTGTGCGTGGGTGGCAACTGCAACTGCTCCCGCTGCCAAATTAAGTGACAGCAAACAGCCAAAAGAAATTGAAAATTACTTGACTACAACCCGAATGTTGACAGCGACTGCAACGTTGACTGCGACTGGAAAATGCGTGTCGCTAATGGCTAACGTCTAACGTCTAACCTCTGATTGCCCCCAAAAAAGAAAAATGAAAGAGAAATGATTTGCGGTCGTTCGTTGTTGTAAATGGAAATGATGTGTGAAAACCATTTGCATGTCAAGATGAACACAAAACCAAAAAGAAAAATGCTCGTTATATCAAATGACAAGTGACAAATGTGTAAACGATGGTCATATGCTCTACATAAATACGGGCTTGGGTATTATTTGATGATAATTTAAATGGACCCATAGCTGATAAGCCAAATCTTAATTCAATTTCACTAAGCTATTGTGTAAGACATAACCATCTCTTTTGAGCAGGTCAGTTAATTAAAAAAAAACTAGTCTACAGAGCTTGATCAACAGATACCTCTTAATTAGATAGCTGATTTGCTGATAGTAGTTGCAGTTGATCAATAATATGTCAGGTTATATTATAAGTCAATTTGAAGGTTGAATCGAAAATATTGGGTCTCTTATGGCATTCTGAAGTAAATAGATATTGATATTCGCGAAACGGGAGCAGTTATCGATCAAATGTAATAAATTTGATATATATGAAGTATTTGAGAACTTATTAGCCGAATTTGAAGTCTCTACCTCTAGTCACTGAGATCGGCTTGTTTAGACAGACGCAGAGACAGACATGGCTCTATCGAATTTGCTGTTGAGCATGATCAAAAATATATATACTGTATTGGGCCAGAAAGGCTTCTTTCTGCCTTCTTATTACATAACTTTGCAAAACTTCTTTATGCCCATTTTAATGTGTTCAGGCATATTCAATTCCAGAAATGTATTTTAAATTAACTTGGCTATTTTCGCCTTGGCAGTAAGTTTTTTTTTCTCATGAAATGCATATGCATTATTGCATAATAGACCAAGGGAAGACTGAAATGAATTATATATCTGTTTTGTATTTAAAGGTATCACCTTAGGTAAAAGCTGCTTTAGTTAAACCTGCTTAATACTCTTAACTTTAAAATATCAACTTTTTGTCTACATCTCAAGTTTCAGCTATCATATATATATATATATATCGCACTTAATTATAATCGTAAGAGAGCTGTTCTTTCATTTCCTTATGCCGTGTAGCTTATCAGTGACGCGTTTTCCGGCTTTCCTGCCCTATCGCAACTATTGCCAACTAAAGTCCGAGTGCAGTGCAAAAAATCAAAAGAAAAGAAAAAAGTGCAAAGGTTTTTTTTTTCTTTATTACTTATTTTCATACTGGAATTGGGCATGCAAAATTTTGTATTCAATTCGAATGGGTTGTTGCATTTTTTATGAGTTTTCCCACGTTGTGCGTGCGGCGCGCGGGAAAATATTAAACTTAAACAGTTTTCATGTCTATTTTACTCTCGCACTGTCTCTCACAGGCTCTTTCTTCAGTTAACAGCTTTGAAATGCGATTTGAAAGCCGTTCAAAGTTGTTGTTATTATTGCTGTTGCTGTTGTTGTTGTTGTTGTTGCATGTCTCAGTTTTTTTGCATGATTTCTGGTTAAAATGCAAAACTTAGTTGCAATAAATATGTATGTATATGCATGGGGTTGCCTGCCAAACAATGTGGAGGAAAACGGCAACCCAAAACTGACGAGCGGATGCACAAAGCACCAACAAAAATACAAGCAACAACTGCAACAACAAAAAGAGCGCAGCCCCCACCTAAAAACGAGGCAACAACAACCATTTCACAATTAGCTGGCAACAATTTTTATTTGCTTATTTTTTTGGGTTTATTGGCCATCGACTACTCCATTTCCCCCACGACTGACTGCTGTTGCCCCTCTTGTGGCACACAGTGGCTGTCCGTGCAACAAATGAGGCACTGATAAATATTATTAGCGCAGTTGCTCGGTTCACTGGCTCTGCCCCTGCCCCTGCCCCTGCCACATTTGCGGCCATAATCGCAATTTATTTAAATGCAACCGAGTCTAGCGGGGCATGTCGCAAGGAGGGAGACAAGCATGGTTGCAGTAGCTCTGGCTGCAATTGCTGCTGCTGGTGCTGCTGCTGCTGCTGCCCCGCCAACCGGTGGCAAGCAGTCCACAATTAATATCGACATTTTAACACTTAGCGCTGACTTATTGCATCTTTTAGTTTTCAAGATTGCTATTATCAATGGGGCAGACAGGCAACGGAACGGAATCAGCCAAATTGCCAAATGGCCAATAGCCAGTGGACACTGTGAACAGTGGCCAATGTTGACTGCCCGTTGGCTGTTGGTGGTCCCGACTCCCATGCTCTTCATATCATATCAATAAAAACGGTAACGAGTACGTCAATTGCGGCAACTTTTTACTTTGTCTTTCTTTTTTGTTTTTTTTTTTTGGTTTTTGGTCGCTTGTTTTTGTTTGAAGAAAAGCCATTTTTGTTTTTGGCGCTTTCGTTTTGAATTTTTCACAAATCACCTGCATTTCCTTTGCGGCTTGCTTTGCTGCGAGTTAATGTGCGGATAATTTTACTACTCAAAGATGACATCAAAAAATGTCGCATAAAAATAAATTTTAAATGTGAGTAAAGAAATTATCAAAAATGTTTAAAACGAATGCAGTTTGTGAAAACTAAATAAAGAAAAGTTGACTTTAATTAAGCTAAAGCAGCAACATCATTTATAAAGCGAAATTCATGAATAAAACTCAAGTCTTAAACTCCATAAGCTCTCCCTGAGCACGGATCGCGAATGGATTCGAAATATATTGGAGTATATATTCAAAATAACACAAAAAAAAAGAAAAACACTTGATCTGGAGTCAGTTGTTTTGCCTTGAAATCGATTAAATTGCTGCCTGATCAGTTCAAGTCCCTCAGGCAAAATCTTGTTGTCCTAATAAGCAAATCAAGCTTCAACCTCTTTTTTTTTCTTTTGTATATGATCTCTCAATTTAAGTGCTTAGTTATGACTAATTTGAAAAGATTAAGCTGATATTACATATGGGTACCGTTACAAATTACTCAATTTAAATCAATAAAAGAGCGCAGCGCAGCGCCACAACTCAACTCAACTCGACTCGACTCGACTCAACTGCTCAACAAGAAATATCCAGGTGACCCTCATTCCCATGCCCAAAACCCATAAGCCCATAACAAATTCAATTTTCATATAGCCATTGTTGGATGTGCCCTAAAGACAGAGAGCCACCTACCGCTTCAATGGCTGCATACGAATGCCAGATCAATGTCGGCCTCAATGGCTGCTGCTGCTGCTGCTGCGTATTGTGGCCGAGCAGGCGCAGGCGAGCATATTGCTTCATGAATAGTTTCCAGATTACATAAGACATCTTGCTTGCTTGCAACGCGGAGACGGGCGACTGCAACTCATAAAGATCGATGCGGGCAGCACAAGATATCCACATGCAAATTGTATGCGTGCCTTGCTTCGACGACTGCTGCTGCCAGGAAACCGTCTCCCGACTCATGAGCCGAAGAAGGAAGGGGAGGGTGGGGGGGATCCCTCTCCGCTTGATCCACAGGGGAATCGCTTAATGCGTAGTTTGTGTTGCGTTTATTGTTTTCATAAATAAAGAAAATAAAGGCTGCCAGGGACTCGACTCGATTCAGCCCGACTCGAAATTTGTCGGCTTACATTATTATTATTATTGCTTATTATTATGGCAATGGCGATTCACTTTACAAAAGACAGATTCACTTCATTTTTCACAAAACAAAACACACACACAAAAACCAACAAAGGCACCAGGTTGCACCGAGCGGGATGATGGGGGGGACGAAGGGGCTGCTGAGACAGTCGGCTTAGTGATTTTTGTATTATTTTAATATTTATTTACATTTGAGCATTTTGCATAACGCGCGGGTCACGACGGAAATCGTCGACTGGCAATTTATCAATACATAGTTGTTTTATTTTTTATTTTTTGTCTCGTTTCTGTTTTGGTTTAGCTTGTAGCCTAGGGTAAAAGACGGAGCCAGAAAGGTTCAGGTCCAGCTACGTGCAATGTGCGAGGGGCCAAAATAAAGTATACAAAAAAAAAACACAACCACAAAATGAAAAACGCGCCAAAAAATCAAAACGCGCACAAATTTTTGCGGGAGGCGTACGCGATTCCAGCGACGAGATCAATAGGAAAAATAATATAAAAAAAAGCAAAGAAAATAAATAAAAACGCGACCGGCAGTTGAGTCGAAATCATTGGCAGGGCCTGCCTGACACTGGTAAGGCAAGCTGAGACTGAATACTGGATAAACTGAGTACTGAGCACTGTGAATGCGATCTGTCCGCGTCTGTCCGGCGAAAAACAAGTTCAAAGCGTTTGCGGCGCTCGACTAAATTGAAATGAGCTGAGCGTCAAATGGAAAAGTCGCACATACATATTTTAGGGGGTGCACAACATACACACACACACACGTGCAGATACACACCTATATCTGTAGACACACACAGACACTCGCCCATTCGCAGGCTTGAATGATTTTCCATGCGTGCGAACGATTTTCAATGTGAATCCACTGAAAAGCGAATGAATCGCTGAGCGCTTGAATTGATTGAATACCACTCAGTCAAATTCAAAATTAAATACACTAATCAACAATATAACTGATTGAAAATAAATATTAATTACTATCAATATATGAACATATATTGTCAAGCCAAATCGTCTAGTTAATCAAAGATTCTTTCTTTTAAAACTTTTAACTTTATCGATTGGTTATATTTATCTATTAAATAATACTAAAATAATGTAATAAAAAATACTTTATAATATATTTAACAACTTTAATTTTACTGAATATTCGTTTAGTATTTAAGTAAAGTTATTATTTAGTTATCCAATACTTGAACTTATATTTTCAAGCTAATCGTTTAGCTAATCAAAAATTCTTTCTCATAAAACTTTGAACTTTCGATTGGTTTTAATGTGCAATGTTAATCATAATATATTTAACAACTTTAATAGTTTAATAATACTTTTACACTGTTTACTTGTTACTAATTTTAATTGTGTTGCATAGTGATAAATGAATAGGCTGCACTACAAAAAAAAACACACCCACATTAAATGAAATGGGGGGAGAGGTATGTTATTTTATTGTTGGTCTGTTTTGCGTGTTCTGGTCTCTGTTTAATACTCCAAGTGTTTATTGTTTGCTTCACGTTTCTATCCCTACCTCGATCCGACATTGTTTGGCATAATTGCAAAGTGCCAAGAGCGCGCCACAAAACGACATCTGCCACCGCCTTGAACTTGGCAACACAAAAAAAAACCAGATACTCAATTTTAACATGTATTCCCCCTATATCTATATATATATATATATATATATGTGTGTGTGTTGACAGGCCTTTTGTCTACGGCAACCAAACGGTCGCCTTTGTGTGCCCCATTCTATGTGGTATTTGATGCGATTTCGATTATCGGCACATGCGATTTCTGTTTACGAGCCAAGCTGAAAGCCTTAAGTGCTGAGAAATAAACATTTGGACACACAGGATAAACATAATCAAAATATTTTTGCTATGCGCGATTCTAAATGCTCTCCAAACTATAAATTATTATTATAATAGTCATCTATATGGGAAACGTTGATCTACTTCTGAGAATTACAGCAACATCATAAATATAGAGATAGACTTAATGAATATTACATAATATTAAAATAAATTAAATAGTCATCTTGACACATTTGCAACTGCATTTCCGCGTGACTCAATTTATGATGTCAGCTGTAATTACTTCAACAATTATCTCATCTCGTACTACTGAACACAGATTTCGAAAACCGGAATTAAAGTTTAAGTTGTTAGTTAACAAATTACCCTTATATATACCCTGAATACCATACACTATCTGTGTGAGTGCAGTAGAAAACACTTTGATATTCCAGGGGCGTTGGCCTTTTACGTGTTGTGCCTGCAATGCGCATAGTTTTTGAGTAAATACGCCCAAAAAACTATTTCGAAATCGCACAAAATAATTGCCAAAAAAAAGAAACTCATAAAATCAAACAAAAAAAACTTTCATAAAATTCGCATAAATTTTGATTTCTAACAATGCGGCTCGAAATTTAAGTTCGTTTAGCTTGAATAATGATAAGCGCCCCGAACTGTTTTTCAAACTGACAGCGATAATCGCTCAAGTCGAGAACAACAAACAACAGGGCAACAGGAACATGCAAAATAGCAACAACAACAACAACAAGTAGAACATGGCCGGGGCAGTGGACACACCTTCCTGGTGTGGCATGGCCTATGAGGAGAGTTGCGAGTATTTAGCAAATAAAAGCGGAAACGGAACAAAAAGCGTCGCAGACACTTTTTGACTACGTCACGGTTAACAAAAAGGTCAGGAGGCAATTGGGGGTGGCTTCTGCTGAGTAACTTTTTGAGAAATTGAACTCTGTCACGCCAATGCAAAAGTAGTTTTAACCCTTCATTTTTGCTCGATTCACAGGAAAAACAAAATTAGCCACAAATTACGCTGAAAATTATTGACTTTAATTGAATTTTTGGCCAGTGTAGCGCAATTAATTGATTTCAACAGAAATTTCAACGACAAAAATCAATTAAGCTTTTAGATGCATGCTTGCATTGTTGTTGTATCTGCTGTTGAGAGTTGACCCAATTTGCACCCAGGACACTCACCCTCCGCTGCTGCTGCTGTTGACGTCGACGCGGCAGCGCAAATCGCTTTTTAATCCACTTGAGCGTCGTTTGGCGACTGCGTGTTAGCGACATACTGCAAAAGCTCCAAATGTGCAGGATCAGAACGAGAACGGAATGCAGCCAAGCGACGCACTCCTCTCGCGTTGGCAGACGAAACATTAAGAACAAGAACAACACTCTCTAGCGGCTGGTAGCAGCAACAACAGTCTCATCACTTTTTGAAACTTGAAGCTTTTGTGTGTTTTCTGTAAACACTTTCTTTTCGTAGTCGCACTTTTGATTGATTGGCAGGGGGGTGGTGGAGGAGGAGGAACAGGGTGGCGACGTATTCAATAATTATATATTGGCAATGGACGCGACGCGGACAGCGTTGTTACTTCAGTTGCGTTTGTTGTTTGACTGTTGAGAATGCGGTCGCATTTGCCGCTACTGTGACAGTGACGATGACGGCGGCAGCGACGGCAACGACGACAACGACATCGCTGACTGCGAGAGCGGCTTAGACTGAGACCGAGAGTGTTTGTTGTTGTCACCAATATTATTGTTGTTGTTGTTGTTGGTATAGTTTTTGCTATTGTTGATATCGTTGCTCTGCGTTTTGTTTATAACTTGTGTGCGTGTGTGGAGACCAAGAAAGTGTATAAATAATGCAATAAGCAATAGCGCAGCAGTAACAAAAAAACGACAAAAAAACCCGAAACCTTAAACGGCACTTTTTTGCAGTCAGCGCACATCGCACTTCAAAGCCGACGTCGCTGCTGCTGCCGGTGCTGTTGCTGTTGCTGTCTCATTTTAGCCCAGCCCTTCGCTGCCGAAACTGAAACTGAGCTTTGCACTCAATTTGATTGTCCACAACAACAGCATACCACTAAATGCATGCGAAGGAAGCTTTTGTTGTTTTTGTTGTTATTAGCGCTGTCAAGGTGTTGCTGTTATAATAGGCCGATGCACAGTGGTTGCTTTTCATAAAGTAGAATACTGAAAATTGACTTTTATACATAATTTACTTATATAAGAAATTTACAATGAAAAATGTACTTGAATCAAAATACAAATATTAAATCTATTTTTAGTCATAGGTTCATTCTACTAGCATTTACAAAAACAATAAGTAAATTGCTAAATATATTATGTGTGCTTATTTGGAAATTTACAAATCATGTATTTAGCACCACAGTGCCTCGAGGCATGTGTGGTTAATTCTAATTTACTCCCTGAAAGAGAGAGAGAGGAGAAAGAGAACGCGCGAGCAGAGAACGAAAACAAAAGCTCAACATACAAGTGCAATTTGTGCAGTTCGTAGAAGAGGAAGCAGCAACAGTAACAGAAGCCCAAAAGCTTTATCGGTACTTCTTCTTCGTGTTTATCATTGTTATTGTTATTTACTTTAGCTCACGTTGCCAATGCACTTTATTGTTGTACTACATGTCGTTGTTATAACAGTTATTTATTTATTTATGCTAATGTTGCTCTCGACAACGACGACGCCGCCGTCGCCATCGACGCTGACGTTGCATTGTCTAGAATGAGAACAGCAACAACAACAAATACAAGTGGCACTCACGCGACAAAGCCCATAAATAAAGTATTCTCATAGTTATCAGTGTATGTGTTTGGGCATGTTTGCGTGTGTGTGGTGTACGATATTCGAGTACGATATTTATTTACTTGCTAAAGAAAGTGCACTGTGCATCAGCATTTTTTTGGGCTCTTTTCGATTCTTTCCCATCGCTGTGAAAATAATGAAAAAATTCTCAACGCGTTTCCCCAGTGTTGCCACACAGATCACGAAGGTGGCTGCTACACAGCTGATTCATGTGGTGCCTGTTTCTTGGTATCTGCCGCAGATGTCGCCGCTGGGCACTATGACAGAGAAGTACGTGCTACGTGCCACTTCCAAATGAATACTATGCTTGTGATTTTTATGGCACCCAAGTCAATTTTGTGTAAATTTATCGTGAAATTTTCTGGTACGGTTTCTGGTGTAGTTTTCACCTTTAACAGAAATTCATTTCTCGGATATTACAATAAGTACAGAAAAATATATAAGGAAAATATTTCAGAGGCCTAGTAAGCTTCATAAGTCAGAATTCGTGTAATTTTTAAAAGTTAAATTTTCAAGTATTCAAAAGACGAATACAAATCAGAACCTTTCCACACTTGCTGAATTTTCAACAAATTGAGAGAATATATATACATTTCCATCGAACTCCATTATGAATAGTGAAAACCCGGCTGATTGTGAGCCGGAGATGGAATGCGAGGTAAAGTCCGAGATGTGTCAAATAATATCCAGTTCTGATTTTATGGAATCGACGGACAAGCTGAAATCCACGTCCGAAACTCGTTTCAAGCACAATGCGGGCTCGTGGAAATTCGAGAGTGTTGGCGGCTTCTTTCTGGCCACGGAGGATGTGAGCAAGTTGTCCCTGAGGAAGCAGGAGCAGGTGCTCATCCGTGATCTGATTTATGCCTTTTCGGGTGTACCCTCATCGCACATTCAACCAGAAATATCGCTCGATGAGATTCCCTATCTGACCACCGAGCATATTGATAAGGTGCACTTCAAGATCGATGAACGTTTCACTGGAGCCTTTCGCACGCTGGCCAACGAGCTGCTACCGCTGATTGGCTACTACATCAGTGTGCAGAGCTTCATCGAGGAGACCAGCTTGACGCGGAACTGCAGCCGTTTCCTGGGCAATGCCTTGCAGAAGGACATGCAACAGTACTTTGAGTTCCAGGCAACGCTCGAGACGCAACTGAACGAGCAGAAACTGAATCTCCGCCAGCTGGTGCAGCAAGTGCGTCCCTGGCTGCCCACCATGCAATCCTTTGCGAGTCTCACGAGTCGCGTCCGTCGCCTGGAACCCAATTCGGCCCAATTGCTCTCGCTGATCGATGAGCAGCAGCAGCATTTCAAATCGGAGCGCCTGAGGCAACTGATCACGGATATCTCTCGCTACTACATGACCATGGTGCAGCTGTGGACACAGAAGGGCATCATTTACGATGTGCGTGGCGAGTTCTTCATTGAGGACACCAGTGCGAATGCGATGAGCAGCACTCTGCTCTCGCCCAAACAATGTTGCCACGCCTACTGGGCGCAACGATATCGCCTGCACGTGGACAGGTTGCCCACTTTTCTGGAACCGCTCGCTGAGCGCATTCTGCTGGCGGGCAAATATCTGAATGTGTTGCGACAGTGCAATGTGCACATGAATCTGATGCAGGAGACGCTCATCTATGTGCCCAAGGAGATGGAGGAGGCACCTCACGAGCAGCTCATACGCAGCTCGTATCAGTTGCCGGCGCGCAAGCTCCTGGAAGTCCTTGTGCAGGAGCAGTTGGCGGAGCACTTACAGAATCTGCAAGATTACTTTCTATTGCAGGAGCGGAATTTTATCGATGCTTTGCTGGCGAAATGTGCCCAGCAGTTGGAGCAAAATGTGGACAACTTGCAGCCGGAGAAGCTGCAGAGAATCACACAAGATGCGCTCCAGTTGAGCAGCAATCCGCACAAGCATTTGCTGCGCTGCCAACTAATGGATTGCGATGTGGCCACCCAGCTGGGCAATAGACTAAAGCAAAAATTGATTACCAGAGAGGCATCCAGTGAAATGGACACACCTAGCAGTCAGCTGTCGGAGCAGCTCACCCTTTGTGGCTATGAGGCATTCACGTTGCGCTACGAGCCCAAGTGGCCCATTAGTCTGGTCATTCACGAGGCACCCCTGGAGCAGTTGCAGCTGCTGCATCGCGTCCTCTTCTATCTGCGCTATGTGCAGCACCAGTTCCAATCTGCTTGCCACGCTGGCGTCATTCCCAATTTACGTGCCTCCGAGCTGCGTCGACGCATGATTGAGTGTATTGAGCAGCTGGAACAGCATATGATCATGGATGTGGTGCAGCCACGCTGGCAGAAGCTGCTGCTGGTTGTGCAGCAGGCGCAGCTGGTGGATGAGGTGCTGCAACACTTCCAAAGCACATTGGATCAGTGCCTGTTGCTGTGTCTGCTCTGTGAGCCTGTCATCTTTGTGCGCTCCTTGTTCATCTTGGGCCAACAGTGCCTCAACTACAGCAGTTTCATGGAGCAGCAGGCAACTAGTGCCGACTTCGATGCGGGTGTCCTCGAATACGAGGAGCAGTTCAATAGTCAGCTAAGTGATATCCTCGATCTCATCACTGATCTTGCCCGACCGGGCAGCAATTGCGGCAATGAGGAGCGTGCATCCTGCAAACAGTTGGTGCAGCGCCTCGAAAGCATCGGCAAAGATTTGCGCTAGGAAAACTGAATTTATTTTAGTTTTACATAACTTTCATTTAATTATTGTTTTGACTTCAACCTAACACAAGTCATGCCAAATTAGCCGTGTGCCACAAAAAAAGAAAATCTTGAAGGTTTGCCTACGCATAATGCCAAACTGTCAGCGGACAACATTGCTAATGATGCTGTTGCAAGTTGCAAGCAGAGCGTAATAACTGAATATAACCAGAGAATATAGTTGGGAGTGTGCATGACTAAAATTCTCGTAAATTAGACACAACAATTGAACAAACAAATTTGGGTTATTTGAAAAATAAAAATTAATATTACGAATGTAGTAAAATTGACAAATGTTGTTCACTAAAATTTAAAAAGAAAAACAAAAAGCCTAACCCACTTAGGGTCCGCAACATTCCAATTCAGGCCAACACTTGAAGTCTTAACTTTTTCTTAGCTGTTGCACACAATGGGCGTGAATAATTGATGTGTGTGTGTGTGTGTGCGAGTGAGTTTAATTTGTGGCCAGTTCGACTATTTATGCAGAGTCACGGCAACATCGTATGGATGCAACGCATGCATCAAGGCATCTCTCCGATTTGCATAGCATCGTAAATTATTTTAAATGGCGGCAAAACGATTTTAATGTTCGCAACTCGCTCCAACTTCGGCACTTGCTGTTTGAATGGCTAACCGCAGCTGTCCGTCCTCACGGCCTGCCTGTCTGCCCATCCTTTCCAACAATTTCAATTCAAAGGCCAATTGTTATGTAAATGTACAAAATGAACTTGCAGCCAGTTTGCAGTTGCCTCACGCAACGTTATGCACAAAGTATTTATAAATAAATAATGAAAACCAGGCAAGAATACTCTAGGCTAGCACATACTCTGTTATCGACTACTTTTAAGTCTACTTTAATTTAGAGTAAGCTTGTTTCTTATATTAGTACACTTTTTTTTATTATCTTCTGCTATTGGAAATTGGTCTTCAGAAATCAAAGAGATAATTTAAAATGCTTTCTAAAATAAATCAACATTTTTTATATAAGTTTATCACTTCAAGAATCATATCGAAAATTAAAGTGATTTGTTACACAACATAAAGGGTATTTAAACTATGCGCAGCTAAATTCACATGCAGATATTAGCATTTTTTGCACAGTGTATTAAAATGCAATTCGAAAAGTAACGAATAAAAAGTAAAAAGGCGAGCGGCGAGCGGCGAGCGGCGATATATTAAAAAATATCACTTGGCTGTGCATTAAGGACAACAACAGGTGGTCTCGATCATGTGCTGACGCTGCTGATGATGGCAATGATGACGACGACGATTATCATCATGATGATGACGCAACCTTAAAATGCTGGCCGGCGGCAACACGACCACAGCCAATCGTAGCCAATAATAATGGTCGCAAAATTATTGTAAAGTTCAGATCCATTGCTGCTAAAATGTATATCATTACGTGCTTACATTTACCTCTACCCTCCAATCATCCTCTCCCCCTTTTACCCACATCTCTGTTTGTGGCTGGAATTGAGCTGTGTCCAGTTGAGCTGTTGGACAGTTTGCCATTGATATGTGCATTAAGCCAGCAGCAGCTGATGGGCAGCCGGCTGAGTGCCGTGGGAAAGTGACGGCGGTTGCAGTGGCATCGACTGTGGTTGGGTCAGTGGCTGCCACTGCGACTGCGATTGCCACTCTGTCTGCAGCTCAGTTCATTAAACCTATGACACGCCCCGGGTAACCAGATGACTTCATTTGTGCGCCGCTTAGAAATGTCATTAACTTGAACTCGCGCCGTTTTGTGGCGGAAGTTCAGCGTCAAGGTTCAATGCACGTTTAATTAAGATACAATTTATTTGGCAATGGCCAAAAAGCGAAACTGCAAACAATACACAAAAACCTATTGAATTCGTTTTGTTTTTCTTTTCCTTTTTTAACGAGTCGATGGCAGGCAATTCATAATATTTAAATTCCAATTCAAAATGTATTTATATATAGGTGAAGTATTACTCAAAATAGATTTGATTCGTATCTGTATCTTTTTGTGGTTACGTTTAATTAATTTGCTAGGCATTAGTATAAAAAATGAGCAATAATTTTTTGAAATGCGTTTCTGCCCACTGCCAAAATCTGTTACTAAAAAAGGAACACAACAACTGATGTTCTTGCTTAGCTTCATTAACTAAATATTCAAATACAATAATTACTCAATACTCTCGCGCTCCGGCTTCAGATACTCCACTTCCACATCCACCACGGATGTGGTGTCAGTGATGGGTTCTTTTTTGGGCAGCGGATACAGCTTGCGTCTGCTGTAGAGCAGATCGACGCCGAAATCGCATTCGAAGAGCTGATTGTCGCGCATCTTGTCCTGGTACCAGCGCAAGCGTTCCGTATTCCCGCCCAGAGATTGATCCAACAGCTGGCGACGCTGTCTGCCTCGTTCGAGTAGCTCAATATAGTCGAGGGATTTGAGGTCGGGAAAATTTTTTAGCTTTTTGAATGCCTCTTTTGACACTTCCTCATAGGTTGGCGACATTTCGATTGCACGCTTGACACGCTCCGCTATCATCTCACTGCGCTGCTTGTCCAGCACATCGGCGGGCAGGAGACGTGCCCGAATGCTTGCCAGATCGTCCTCAACGGTTTCCAGTAGCTTGGCATGCGACTGCTTTTTGGCCGTCTCATAGCTGAGCCGCTCCTTCTCCAGGGCCGTTTCGCGTGCCAGCTTCTCTGGATCCATTTGCTTGCGTGACATGAGAATTGTCATCATTCGATTGAGATTCAGTTCGTCAAACTTCTTGGCCATGCGTTCGTTGTAAGGTGCTCCAGCGAGTCCCTTCTTCTTGTCCCTGCAATGACGAATGGCTGGCTTTCAGTCTCAAGGATCATAACAGTCTATTGACTTACGTGTGTTCCTGTTCAGAATCGGATGTGCGTTTGCGAGTGTTTTGTTCTTCACGTTCCAAACGTTCCATTTCCTTGCGTGCCTCCTGTGCAGCCTCGCGTTTCGCCTCAATGATGTCCTTGTTGTTTTCATAATACTGTTTCTCCCAGGCTTTGATGCTCATCTTGCGCGTTATTTGTCGCGTCACATAATGCGTTAGTTTCTGCCAAGAAAATTTATATAGCTAAAATGATATTAGAGTCAGCTGGGATACTTACTTGCAGCTCGTTGTCCAGTGGCACGTCGAAGGTGTGCGGTAGTTTGACCATTCGGATGCTGCTGTTATAGTCGCCAATGCCCAGGATTTTGTTGGGCAGCGACGGACGATGCTCGGTGACAGCTGTGATGAGGCCGCCGCCAAGGATCTCAGTCAAAACTGGCGCATCGTCGCGAGCTAAAGCCAAGTTTAATTGATAAAAACAAAGCTCACATGCTGAACTGAACACCTACCCAAAATATCCCAAGCTTCGAGAATGCCATCCTTTCGCGTTAAATATAAGACAGCCGGACGTGACTCGCTCCAGGCAACCGCAGTCAGATCGCACGGACGCTTTCGCCAGATAATGGCCGAATCTGGATAGTCCTCCTTCCACAAGGCAAAGACCGTGCGTCCAATCGATGCAAATATTTCCGGGTAGAAGGGATTCTTGCTCATGGCGACAATGGGACCATCATGCACCATTGCAAACTGTGCAGAGCTGTTTACTTGTTCTCTAGCACCCGCCTCGCTATACATACCCTGCCACTCGACGCGTATGATGTTGCCGTAATAGGTGGACAGAATTAGGGATGGTCGCATTTCGGGCGGATCCTTGGCCTTCATCGTAATGGGATAGTTTGAGGGTGAGTTGTTGATCACCTTGGGCGCAGGTGTCTCAATGGTGAACACTGAAGAATCAGCCACAATCCCAGTTAGTGGCTCATTGTAGAATATGCTATATGTGGGCTTCATTATTTTGGACTTGTAAGGCGACTCGTTTTGGGTCAACTCTTTGGGCAGATTTTTACTGCGCTGGGCGTCCCGATCCATCTTTGCGGCCTCGCCATCCAAATTCCAGAAGGCGACGGTGCCATCAAAGGAACACGTGATGAAAAACTTGTGACGACTGCGCTTATCGGGATCATTAAACACCTTACCGAAATGATTCAAATAGAAATGTTTGCCCAGCCAATAGATACCAGTGATGGCGCCGTTCGGCGATTCCTCCAAGGGCGATATGTTTGCCGGCTCGACAACCACCTCCTCGTTGGTATCGAGCGTCCAGTTGAGATACTCACCGATTATTGCTCGATACTTGGCCTGCGCCGGCGTCAAATACTCCTCATCGTCTAGGTGCTCACAGCGACCCTGCAGATCCCAGACCACTAACAAACCATTCTGGCAGCCGCCAAGCAAAATGTCGCCATTGAATGGACAGAATGACAGTGTTGTCACCTCAAAGGGTGCCTCAAACTCCAGCTTATAGTTGAGATTATCAGCGAAACTCCAGAGCAGGACGGGATTCGGTTCGAGCACCGCACGTTGCACTGCGTTGACCTGATGTGTGGCAAGGTCTTCGGTTACGGGAGTGGTGAAAGCATATGAGACAGCAAGAAGTCCACTCAATTTGGGATACCAAGCAGTGGTGGCCACAAAGCGTTTGTCACTCTTCGAGATATTGGCAAAGCAGATGAACTCCTGCAGATATGGATTAGTGTAGTGCACCATTTGTGTGTTGGATATCAACTGATAATCGTTGCTGCGTGTTGAATGATTGATTAAATGACTGAGGTAAGCGACAAGAGTTGCCTAGAAAACCCACCGATAGCTATCGATCTGATTGAAATCGAGTGTGTCCAGCAGCAGCTTCATTTGCTCGGACATCTCGTGCGGTGGCTTCGGCTTTGGCTCCTCTTTGGCCGGTGTGCCGGGCCTACTTTTCTGTTCGCCCTCCTCCTCCTCCACCTCCGATTCGTCCAGCTCGAGATCTAAACGTGCATCACTTAAGCAGGCACTAACAGCAGGAGTAGAATAACTCAGTAACTCACCTGCATCATCTAATTCGTAGAGATACTGCGACCAGGCATTTGAGGGAAACGTTGGATTTGTCTGCTGCTCCCGCTGAATGCAGGCTGGAGCGGACTGGACGCCGACAGAGATTCGACGCCTGGTGATATTATCGTACTTGACATCATCCTTCGGGAGTAGCTCGATAACGCCATCGCGCACATCGCGAGCCAGGCGATAGGAAAAGGCAATGTGTCGAGGCTGCTGTATGGGATAGACACTCTGGATCTCTACATCGACGGGCTCCTCGCGGAATCGCTCCACCATTACGGACATCTCGTTCTCGGTGCCCATGCTGACCCAGCGACGCGGCTTCATGCGCAGACGTCGCTGCATGCGCCAGCGCTCGAAAGCCTCCATATTCTGTATGATGCCCATTGCCAATTTCGTATCCTTGCTGGTAATGTAGAAGATGAAGGGATCACCCTCTGGTGGTTCCTCCTCCGATTCGGTGAGTGTGGGACAATAGCCAATTAACACATAATGTTCCGGATTGAAGCCCTTGAAAAGCTTGAGGAGATCAGCTGAATTCTCCAGCTCCTCGAAGAGCACATCGCGCAGATCCTTGAACTGCACCTGCCGCCACGGAAATTCCTGTGTCACATTGACACCCACCTGAATTTTCAGTGCCTTTTGCACGCTTGCGCTGCGGAATGTGTGAGAATGGATTGTTGGGATTGGAATGGATTGGGCATTGGCAGCATTGGACATATTGCTCTTTAAGCTTACGTGACCATAACCCTCTGGCAGCTGTTCAGTGAGAGGAGGGTGCGCCATGATTCATGCACATTGAACAGCCTTGATAAATCGGGGACATCTTCATCTGAGTCGGGCTGCATAAACTTTTTGATATAGGGCCGTCGCTTATGGACGCCTCCCGGTTCGATGCCAAACTCCGCATCTACAGCAAAATCCACATTTTCTTCCATGTCGTATATTGTATCAGTTGAGTTTTTGAACACAAATCGAAATGTTTTTCATTTCTCGTTGTTGTTGTTTACTTAACTTTTTGACATTTCTCACTGTGTGCCAGGGCAATAACTGAGCATGCGTCGATTTGGTTTTCTCCCCTGGAATTGGCATTGGCATGGATACGTGTTGCATCTATGGCAACTTATTTCTATGGAACGCACTCTAATTAAAATAAGTAGAAACATTTTAACTCATTTACATGCGTTGCCAGTTCAGGACTTGGCCATTTTTCATTGAAACAATTTTTGAGTGGGTGATTGTTGGCAATGGTCTTCTTTTTGCTTTGCTGTTGGTGTTGCTTTTGTTGTTGCTGCATTTCACATCATTATCTTTGACCAAATACGGAACTATGCGCAGCAGAGAAAAAACACACACACACAACGCAATTGTGTGTCAGTCACAGAGGCTTCAAAAAAGCGCTGGCAGAAAATATGTGTTTTTCTTGTGGATCGTGTTGCGGCAGCCTGGACATGATCTGTGGCTCATTGGCTGGTGGTTGGCTGGTTGGCTGCCAGTCGTTTGGGCCCGGCAGTTCAATAAACGATGGAAAGCATTGGCTGACTCTGCCTTTGCCTCTGCCTCTGCCTCTGCCTGTGTCTGTGGCTCTGCTACGCAATCGAAATCGAAAGTTCTGTGATGGACAGCTGCAGTGCAGTGCAGCATATGGGGCCGCCGTTGATGTCAATGCACCACCAAAGTGGTGCCATGTCTACAGCAACTGACACACATTTAATGGATGCACGTCGCTCACTTTCCATTTTCATGGCGCATTCTGGGCGCAACTTTCGATTTTAAACGCAATTTATGCACCTGTCAGCTGATAACTTGCACCTCCGATTAGCCGCAGTCAAAAGGAGTCGCCGCCGCCGCTGCTGCTGCTGCTGTTGCCGCTGTTGCAAATAAATCAACCGACAAATTGTTGACAAAACATTTCGTAATTTAAATAAAGAAAAAAAAAACAGAAGAAATATACAGACACAAACGCGACAAACTACCGATAGTCGCCGCCCGATAGTTAGGCAGCCAGTAACATAACAAAATGCCAGTCCAAATCCCAGTCCCAGTCCCAGCCCCAGTCCAAGCCCAAAGACCCAAAGACAAAACAAACAACTTCCTCATCCGCAGCCAGGCACCCAGCACCCAAGACAGCAGCAGGCACAACAATGACAACGACCAGGAGCTCGGACTGATAATTTTTTTGATTGTGCGCCGAGCGAGCAGCTCATATGCAAAGTGACTCCAAAGGCGGACCCCCAAAACAAAGACAAGGGGGCAGCCCATACATGCGACTGACTCTCCCCCCTTGACCTTATTGACAACAGTGGCCGAGCCGTTGACTGAAGACAAAAGAGTGCCAGTTGAGACATCAAATACGTGATACTCTTTCTAAGCTACAAATATGAGTGGAGTGTCATGAACAGAAAAATGAACACATATAACATATTAATATTAGACATTGTTGATCTGGTGCCTTTTGTCAAATAAATATACACATATGTATATGCCATTCTACATAAATAGTAGATAAATACTTTTCATACGCTTCCAACTTGAATTCATTTAAAGCAAGGTATTCATTCATATACAAAGTTGAAGTTCAAACGTGTTCACATTTCATTTTCATATTCAAAGCTCCTTAAATAAAGTGAAGAAACCAGTTGATTAATCTTACAATAAAATACTCAAGTATTTATACAGTCATAATTATTTATCTGACAAATATCTGCCGTTGTATTTGAACTGTTTGCAACATGCTTGCAACAGGAGTAATTTAGAGAGTTGAATATCACAAGATGGTAACAATATATAAATCTGTAAGATTACGATATGCCTGTCACAAACATCATAAGAAATTATTAGATACTCGAGCAGTAAAATAACAAAACCAAAGTCGAGAGCCAATCCAGGGGCTGGGTTAAGTTGAGGCAGCAGCGGCAGCAGCAGCAGCAACAGCAACAGCAGCAGCAGCAACAGCAACAGCAGCAGCATAATCGCAGCAGTCAGCAGGCAGTTGTACAACTGGCGACAAAATGTTGCATGTTTGTGGCTGTCACCAGCGACCACAGCCTGTTGGCTGCCTGCGCCATGCCCCCACGTTGCCTGCCGCCTGTTGTTGCCTGTTGCCAGCAATATATGCAAAAAGGTGCTAAAAAGATCACAGGCAGCGATTTATCTTCATTTGCATTTGACGTCGTTGGCTGTGTGTCAAAAAGGTGTTAAGTGCCACACAGCCACAGTTTTTGCCACAACCAGAGTTGCCACGTTTGTCGCTGCGGCGCCACCGCTTTTGATGACAACCGACAGCAACGGTAGTCGAAGCGCATAATTTTCGATATTTTATAACTGTTGCGGTAGCCGAAAAATGGCTGTTCACCGGCACATCAATCCAATCGACCGACCGCCCAATAAGGCAAAGCCCCCCCGAAGCACCGTTATTAGCAGCGGGCCAAATTGGACAAACAGCAGCAGCAACAACAGCAACAGCAGCAACAACAGCAACAACAGCAACAGTGGCAACACACAACAGTTCAAAACAATGCCCACTTCTAGGCAGAGCTTAGAGATAGTCGCACCGATAAAAGGGACATGAAATTCAAATTTGAGTGCCAAAGTGCTGCAAATTTAGTTTGCCGCACTTATCAGCGAGTGAAATTTGCCAAAAAAATAAAAATAAAATAAAATAGAAACGGCTTCCGTATTACGACGTTTTGTGAATTATGTGAGAAATTTGTTAGTGGGCTAAATACTTTACTGATTTAAATCCCACCACATTGGGCACTCTCTCAATCGGGCTCTGGTTTTTCTGGTACAACGTGGCGTATGCGCAACAGACGACGAATAAAAACACTGCCAGACTAGACTAGGAGGGACTGGATTACAGCTGGATATTGGGGCCACCCATGGAGTGTTCCATTAAGGACCGCCACAAATGGCGATTTGTGATAAAGGCAATCAATTAAGATAAAGTCGGATTTGAGAGAATTTTATAGATTTCGGCAAAGTAGCGCGAAAATGCTACCAAAAATGCTGAAAATGTTTTTTTAGGCTTTTATTATTAATAAACACGCGAACAGTAAGCGAATTAAATTGGTTGCAATTTATATAGATGTGATTTTTATGAGAAATAATCAAGAATGAAATGGTTGAATGAAGTCTTAATTTACTCATCACGCCAATTATAATATTATTTTGTTAAACAAAAAGCATTACGAATGAGATATGCTTATTGAATTGAATACTGAATAGTTGAATTTAGCCATGAGTTCGAATATTTCTGATTGATATTAGCCAAAGCTAATTCCATATTAACCTAAGAGTGACTAAAAGACTTTCCCCTTTGGTGGTAATCCGTAAAGGTAAATCTGTAAATTAGAATTCACATGTGCCACAAGTAGCTGCCGCATCGAATTGCCGTTGCAGTTGCCGTATGGCAGTTGCAATCCTCTTCTGGCTGTTGACAATGATAATCCCTGCAAAAATATGCGCACAAATTAAGTATCCAAAGTGAGGCGATCCAAACCGATATCCGTGGCGATGGCGATGGCAATGGCGGATTTGTTCGGTGGCGGTGGTGCTTAGTGGTTGTGGCCCCGTCCATTGTTGGCATATTTAAAGTTGTAAAATAGCGAAAAACACGTTTGACCGACATTCGTGACCAAAGTACGGCTGCTGTGGCTAATGCTCGGGCCCCTGGAACTTACCAGCCAGCACCAGGATTTCAATTTCGATTTCCATTTCGCTTTGGCCGGCGACAAATGTGCTACGTCTGTCCATCTGTCCCCGTTTGGTCCCCGCACCAGGCAATTGACCGTGTGACTACTTTAGCAAATGAAAATGGTTAGAAAAAAAAGGTTTTATTTTGTTTTTATTTGGTTTTTTTTTTCTTCATTTCTTAAGCAAAGCGCCAAAGCCAAAACATAATTTATGATGCACTTTTGTGGGGCTTGGGCTCCAGGTATTGCATTGTGACAGCCTGTGTGACTCATGTGGTGCTTGGGTGCTGTTTCATACTAGCTAGCTGGGTACTGGGCGAACTCGTCGCCAGGTGTCGCTCACCATTCAACAAAAGTAAAAGCGAGATAGAAAAAAAGAAGAAAAACACAACAAATGAAAATGAAAACCCAGGTCCAACAAGTAGACCCTAAATTGTGGCGCATTTGATATTTATGATGGTCTTTCGTTTTAGCTTTTAATCACATGTGAAAAATACGACAACGAGTATAAGTTGTGAGTGCCACCAGGGTGCACTGACCTCAACCTCAACCTACGTAGTTCAGTACATCAGCAGCAGCAGCAGTAGCAGCAGCAGCAGCGGCAGCGGCTACTGTATTATTTGTGGTGAAAATCCCTCGTGCTCTCCAGTTAACTATGTTAAACAGCGAAATCTGACTCAGGCTCAAGCTCTGGCACAGGCACAGGCGCAGGCGCATGACTCCCGACGACAGCGGCATCAAGATAAAACCGCATGACATACGGCGACAAGAAGCTACCAACGCCAGCCGACGACCAGCAGCAGCAGCAGCACCACCAGCAGGAGGCGACAAGGAGTAGAAGGAGGCGTAGACGTAGCCAGCCCAGCAGCAGTCAGCGGCGTCATCGTCATCGTCATCGTCATCACCAAACATTTGGCCACAGCTCTTGTTGTTATTGTTATTGTTGCTGTTTTTGTTATTGTTGTTGTTTTTGTTGTTAAGAGCCCAAATTTGGTCAAACGTGCAAAATGTTAGCCGCACGCTGTCAAACTTTTTGGCATGGAAAGCGAAATTTAGCGTTTTGGCTTAAGTCTATTGACTTTGGCTGCTGCTTCAATCCTCCAACCTTCCCTCGCTTTCTTTGCTGCTGCGGCTGAGGTAATCATTGAGGCTGACAGAAAACAAGAATCGCAAGAATTATGCTTCTGAAAATCGAAAGTAAATCACCATGAAACGGTTACATAATGTCATAATAAAGTTATATAAAAGTTCCAAGGTCCTTCTATAGATTTATTTTAATTCAGAAAGGGAAATTTTAATCATAACTCAT